CACACACACACACACACACACACACACACACACACACACACACACACACACACACACACACACCTTCCTCTTCTCCCTTGTGGAACGGTCAGGGAATTAGCCTCCCTGTGCGCGCACGCGTTAAGCCAGGGGTTCCGGGAGCGCGCGCGGATTGTCTACCATCTCAGCCCCTTTGCCAGGCTGCGCACCTCGCGCGTCTTATCATCCATTTCCATTTCCAAGAACTGATCCTCCACGAGCTCTGGTGAGTCCACTTTTTAATAACTTTTATTATAAAGTAAAACGACAATAAGGATAAAAACTGCGCTCTTCATCATCTTCAACACTGTTCTTGTCCTGTTTTGGGGACTTTTCTCTTTTTGGAATTACGCACTCACATATGTGAAGTGAAGCTGCTTGTGTGTTCACTTCTCCATAAGCAAAGCTCGACCTTAAAACCAGCTTTTATCATGTGAATCCTCTGGTGGCTGCAGCGTGCGTCAGGCTGCTGGACACTCTTTCTAACCTGCAATCTGTGCGCACACGACTTTTACGCACAGGAGCGTGTAATTAAACACCTTTGTCGAAAACTGCATCACCTGACAACTGGCTGACGATTAATTAGCCAGAATGGAAATGAATCAGTTTGATCTGGTCCGTGCTGCTGCTGATGTTGTCCCCAAAAAATGAAAACTCAGACCAAGTGAAAGTTTGGTGTGAGTCCATGTAGTTGTGACAGATTTGACAAACTGAGAGTGTTTGTGTTAGAGTTGTGTGATCATGTTGTAATATTAGAAAGGGGGCGAGCAGATGTTAAAATTAGCAATGTATAATCTGCTGTTTTCCAGGACAGACAGTTTTAGACCACTCCCCTGCTGCCCTCTGCCCCGTTAATGTTGGTGTGGGTGCAGCTGACACTCCAGCCTCTGGTGCTGAGCTGTCAGCAAGCTTACAGGCTTTTAAGCCCCGGACTGAGACGCACACTTGGACTCATTTGCGCGCTCCACTTGTGCAAGGAGGAACAGGCAAGGAGGACATACTGAAATATACCAAAACAATGAAACACAGTGTGGTGTATGTGATCACTGTGGGACTCTGATGGGTTTCTTTCTTCCAGGACTCCTAAACTATGTGCATTGGGCAGAAATACACGAGAACTATCCATGGGTGATGCAAATTACAGCTTATATACTCAAATAGTTGGTGCATTTCCTTGCATGTAATGACTGACTTGCAGAATCTGTTATGGAGATTATCATTTTCTTTGTCCATATCTACAAAAAATAATGGAAAACAATGGGAAAGTTAGTTGATGATTTAGTTTTTCAAATATTCGGACCATTATTTAACAAGGTAGAGGTCGTTTTCAGATTTTAAAGAAGAATCAAGAGCGATCTGACCAAGAGAGCGTGATAGAAACACTGAAGAAGCTTCATGAATAGTCTGTCAACATGCTGCAAATAATATAACGATATCCAGATAAGAAGCACAACAAGCAAGACAAGAAGTATGAGTTTCCAAAGCCTCAGTAAATTTGGAGCCGAACGTTTTAGATTTTTTAAACTGATCTCAAAATATATGATTTCCATTTTCAGTTTTGCTCTATATATTTATATAAATACATTGGTTGTTTAGTCAGACAGTGTGAATAAGAACAAAGAATGAAAATGTGCAAGGAATGGTCGTCTGTCGCTCATGTTCTGGTGGATGGTTAATTTTAGTGTCTGAAAACTGCACGTGCATATTGGTTATGATGAGGGATTAGGGATTGCTCACAGTGAGGAGTCGTAAACAAGAGCTGGACATCGCTCTTTAAGATGATTACATGACAAAACCCTCGAGAACCACATATCTAAATGTCACTCTGTTTTTATGGATTCATAATTTATATAAAGTCTTTGCTGGACTGAAGCTTAAGTGGCATATTCCTTGTTTCCATCTTGGCTCTGTGTTTGCTAACACATGGTTAAGGGAGATTACGGTGGATGTGTGTGTACATGTGTAAGGGGATTGACTGCTGAAGGCCTCTATGTGTTGTGTGTACAGTGTTTGGTCGTCTGTTGTTGGCAAATTTACGTGTCTCACAGCTTCCCTGCTGTCTCAGGCCACTTCAACATGTCACACCACCACTGTTCCATTCAATCGTCCTCACTCAGTGACACATTGAGATGAGTGAATCTGTATAATATGAAAATATAAATGTTTCACAATAAAATCATACATGTCTGATCAGTTCAATAATTCGGGGATCAAACAGTGTGATCACTAAGAATCTGTAAAATTTAACTGTGAACCCGTTTTTTAAATGAACTACTTTTTAATCTAAATTTTGTTCATAAATAAATGTTGAATATTGTTAGATGATAACATTAATAAAGAGTCACAGATGAGAAACTCATATTTCTCACAGCTGTAAGTTGCTAAATGTTTATTTAAAAGAGACCATGCACATTAATTAAAATGCACTCTTAAGTCCAACCTGTAAATGAGCAGGATTTAATGTAGGCACGTTTTCATTCTGCAGTCCCCGACAGGTTGGTGGTAAAAAAAAACCCATATACAATAATATATAGACACATATTTTTAGCTTAAATAAAGACTAAATCAATGACATAACTGTACAGCATGTGAAAGCATGAGCAATGACACAAAAGCACAAATACAAATGTGAAGCAATAGTGAATAAAGACGTCATCAACAACCAACAAACATGAGATCACAGCAGAAAATGAATCAACTGTCTTTATCTTTAGCAGCACGTGCATGAAAGTAGATTGAATGTGGTTGATATCAGTGTTCTTCAAAATCAAATGACTATGTAACTAACTTAAACTAAGTTAAATCAATCCATATCACCACTTTGTAGTTTCGGAGTTTGAAAAACCTTTAAGAGATTGTATTGCAAAAATTAAGAAGATTATCTGTGTCGTTTTGAGATTTTAAAAAACCAATAATTAAAAAAAGCTCTATTTTATGTGTGTGAGTCTGGGGATACGCAGAGTGAGACTTAACCACTCTGTAACATTTCATCTCTAAAAGAATGAGCCAAGTCACCAAATTACCCCAACAGATTGTAAACTGTGCCGCTTGGATTGCAGCGTGAGCTTAATCTGAGCCCACAGCTTCCACTGGGTCAAAAAGAGACGAAACAGCTTAACTTTGGCTACGATTTGATCTGTCGGTCTAAAACACACATTACTCCGATTTTTCACGCATGGTATTCAACAATGAAATCAACTTAAAACCTTCAGATCTACATATCCCTGGCTCATTATATATCTGAATAATAAGTCTTCAGCATTAAACCAATCCTGTTAATTTAAAGAAAAACATATTTATATGTTCATTTGCATATTATTTGTATTTTATAAGTGGCTCTCAACCTGGGTTTGGAATCCTGAGGGGTCTGCAGGTGTTGAACAAGTGGAACCACATTTCTGCAACTCAGACAGTTGTTTTTTCTCATGATTTGATTACTTAACCTTAGTATTGAATAAGTGGAATTCTGAGTGAATTTCTAATATATACACAATAATATTTTCTGGGAACAAACATAATTTACCGTTTGAAAATAATTTCTATGAAGTTGAATTTTTTTGTTTGGAAAAGCATAGTATCGGTCAGATTTAATAAGTTAAATGACTTAAATGATTAAAAAAAATAGTAAGTGATAAAGAAACATTTACTTTTGAATTTGTTGCACTGTTTGTTTGTTTTCTGGAGAATTATTGTATTGTGTTACATTACAGAGCAGAATTAAAAAATGTATTCTTTAAAACTGACAGATTGCTTCGAAGGGATCACAGGTCAAAATGTTTGATGATCCCTGTGCTGAAATAATATCATCCTGCTGCGATCACTGGTTATGGCTTCATTAGAAACATGTTTTTCCCCCAGCCTTTAGATATTGACCTCCTGTTCTTCTCCCCATGTGCTGACAGAGGGATGAAACGGAAAAGAGCGTATACCTGTCACTACAGAAATGAGTGAGTCGTCGTCAGTTCACTCAGTGAAGCTTGTTTCGTTGGCCCGCTCACTGTCCGG